GTCCTGCAATATTTTGTTAGCAACCTCAGAAGCTGTAGCATGCAAAATAGCAAACTGTGCAGCACATGCACATGGATTCATAATTAAGGGTGCCAGAGACAAAAGGTATCCACGCCTCTGGCATTTCTAAGATTCTAGGGAATGGGCTGAATCCTGAACACTCATGGGTCACATCAATAATGTTTTATGAAGGCATCTCTGTAGGGCAAAAATGGAGGGTCAAAATAGGAATGGGGAGCAGAAAAAATATGTTCTGGGTAAATGTGAACAGTTGGAGCATTTGCATTATGCTAATCCTCCTTTACAGAGGAAAATGGTACTAGAGGATCTTTTTAGGTATTTAACTCCATAAACTGAAACTTTCTAGTTGGATGAAAGTACCACCTTCTGCCCGCAAGAAAGAGACCTTAAGATCCACAAGATTTAACAGCCTAGCGGAGCAATCAAGGCAGACAATGCTGTTTAAGATGTCGTTCTAACTACTTCAGAAGCCAAATCTGAAACTGTTTACCTTGAAATGCTTGCATGCATGCATAAAGTTAAATGGAAAATATGATTCAGAGATGCTTCATAAACAAGTGCCAAACACAATCGGAATGGAGAAAATGTAATAAATTCAGTTACAGCCAACATACTTCTCAATAAGCCTGGAGAACTTACAAAGCTGACCACATGCTTAAGGGAAGGGAGAGGTAAGTACACAGAAAGAAATCAACTGCTTCATCCTGTTTTTTGGCAGATTAGCACACCAACATTATAGAAAGGAATAATTTGGTTTACAATAGCCAAAGGGCAACAAATTTTCCTTAAACTTTACAGAAGAACACAAGAAGAATCTACTGGAGCTGAACACCACCACCCTTAAAATAACTGCTAAACCTATACAGATTCTCACATGTAATTGATAGAGGAAAGGAGTGCTAAAGATATTAAAACATCATGTGCACTGTATATTGATTTGTGCTTGGGAAGCCACGGACAAAACCATAGTCCTTTTCCTTTTTAATTTTTCCCCTCGCAAAAAAAGGAAAGATGCATTACAAAAATAACAATTACAAAATTATTAAAAATGCTATTCCAATAGCATCAGACAGTGTGTATCCTTTTAATTAATAAATGCATTCCACCAAAGTATTAAATCTTAAGATTATGTGTGTCTTATGTGCAAACTATTTTAATCCTCCTCCCCCCTTTCAATCAAATCAATAATTATTCAGTTTTCTAATCCCATGCCAATGCAGTTTTGGCAGGTGCTCACAGAAGACTCTTCTCTATTGCTAGAAATGAACCATCCCATACACACAAAAGCACAATGAAAGTGTTAAGAGTTGCTGTATGCCCAACAATCACACCTAGCTAAGTAAGATCCTTGAATATTGTCTACAGAAGTTTCAGAGATTTCCCCCTTTAAAAAAAAAAAGTTCAAAGTACCTTAATGAGAATTGTGATACACAGTGAAGAGTAACATAAAACACTGTATTGCATATTACAGTATCAACAAAACTTATTGTACAAACAACAATGGGTGGTATCTGACTAAGTCATAATAGTAAACCAACTGAAATCAATGGATTCTGGCTAGTAGTGGCTAACTGAAGTTTACTGATTTCAAGAAGCCTACACCACAGCATTGATAACTTGTGTCAGGGACGAAGACTTGGATTCCTCTTTCTCAGGTGATGAGATAAAGATTCTGAACCTGAAGGGGACGGGCATGCAGAGCACACCTCAGAGACACTGTTACCTGATGAACCTGTGGGGACATTCCTCTGCCCAACGATGCTGGACTGCGGTCCTCTGACTCTGCAGACTCTACTGCAGAAAACCCTGGAAGACCTGAGCCTCTCCAACTTTATCACCTGGATTCTGCCTTGCATCTAAACCCTGCGTTCAGCCTGACCCCTGCCTTGCCTTGAGTCCAACCTGAACCTCACTTTGTCCTACACCCCAGTTGAGCATCGCTACACCAGAGAAGCAGGGCACAATGCTTCCACTGCAATCGTTGGCTAATGCAGCTCCTTTGTTCCTTCAACCTGCTCTGGCTAACAGAACAGTGAGGAGCATGGCCATATATTCACAGGGAAGAGCACAGAGGTATGTGTGTGCTCTATGGGGCCGGCCATTTCACAGTGAGGAATGCACATATGACAAACAGCGAGGGCCATCATTATAGCGTAGTTTGTGTAAATGCACACTCAGGATGTTGATGCTGAGTGTGATATACAATAGCTATTAAACAGCTCTTGGTGAAATATCCGAGTCAGAATTGTTTGGTATACAACAATGGTGTCTTACATCTTCGTAAGATGGAATTGTATGTTTCTAGAACTTGACAAGTACATGGAAACTTTAACAGTGAGGTCAGACGTTTGGAGTATCTACGTTCAAGGCATCTCAGGACAACTGGAAGCAAATGAAGGTTGATAGATCTGCTCATTAGTACCCGGCATCTTTGCACATTTTATGTGCGTCTGAATACAGGTATCCACATAAGCCCTTAAAGCAGGGCCAGAATTTCTAGACATGTGGCATTTTACTTCTAAAGCACTTCATGTTTCTCAAGAGAGAAAAGGGACAGGCACAGGCACTTATTTTGCACCTAATGCACTTGGAACACTAAAAATATTTCACATTTTTAGTTGAAATCTAGATCAAATTTTAATTTTTAAAAAGATCTATGAATTATCAATAGCCCATTTCCATGTCATTGGCTCCGAAAAACACCAATGCCCCTTGTCAAGTTCCTTCAAATGAAGAAGATATGGTAGCCATGACCAGTTCATAGAACTTCCATTCTCAGATGCAGGATATTCCTGTATACTGGTTGCTCGGGGGTAGGGTAACAGTGGGAGGGGGCTGGTGCCTTTCTGACCTACCTGTGGGCTTCCCTAAAACATTTGGCTCATGGGCAAAGGAAAAATGACGCTAGGTTAGTTGATAGTCCTTTGGTCAGATCCAGCAGGACTCTTCTCAGCTGAAACTGAATGGCTCCTTCTCCTGTCAGCTATTAGTGGTCATTCCATCTGGCTGTAACAGAAAGGCCAAATGCCATGTTTCTTTTCAGGCTGTATACTGAAAGAACTGTTCTGTAAGGCTGAGAACTGGTGCCTGAGTTTGCCTGTTGTCCTCTTCCCTCTTGCATTACGTCTAACAAACTGAAAAAACTGCACACACAGGGACTGTCATTGTGCAGCGGTTAGTAAATTTTAGGTGCTTTATGAACTCACGATAGTTGCCTTTTTAAAGCAATATGAATGGCAACTGTAAGCACTGAGATTAATCACTATGTGAGCACTGTGGTATTTCACTGAGACAAAGATGGATGAAAAGCCCATCAAGCCATCTACTTAGGTGTCAAGTACCACCACCAAGATGGAACAGAAATAGCCAAATTGTGAACTTGGGTCAGGCTACAAAAGAGATAGCTAACATGATGCCCTCCAGATGTTGTCGGATTACAACCAATGTTGGCTACCAGTCCACATTTTAATGGGCAGCCATGACTGTCATGACCTGCATGTGATTTTTAATAACATGCCTATTATGGAGAATGCTTAGGACTGCTGAGTCTCAGAATCGTCTTAGCCAGAAAGGCAAACCTTTGCAAGCTCTCTAGGGTTTCAAATGCTCTTGTTTCCCTGTCTTAGGAGGAAGCTATCAAGGAATTGAGCTCACGGTGCCTCTCAAACTGTTAAACCTAAGAATTGTCATGTACCAGCACCACAGCTCTGACCAACAGCAGGACCTGCAAGGAGACAGTCACATCAGCAAGGAAGCCAACTGCATCTGCAATCCTGAGCAGGTGAGGATATACTCAAGGTGCTCTAGAGGCTTCTAGGTTAAGTTTACTCATTAGCCTGACTAAACACAAGACTTTCATCAGCATCTCCAAATCTTGCTGCTTACTCTGAAGCCGCTTGTTTCCAATTCCAGCCTAGTACTGTTGACACACAAACAAAAACTCCTATTTCAAAAGGTGACAAAACGACATTAGACAGTAAGTTATTCCAATGAACCCACTTAAGATGTGGCCAAAAATACCCCAGAAATCTGCACACAGGAACACCAAAACAAACTGAAAATAGCTTTGTCTTTGGAGAAGCCTGATTTTTTAAGCAATTGCAGCAACTGGCACTCTTGTTCCAGATGAATACATCATAAACTGTCACCCACTCTCTGAGCACCATTTGTCACCCAATGATGATGCAGACGGAGCCTCCTGTTCCATGCAGGTCTGTGAATGGTGGCTGCACAAAGTCCTGCTTTCTGGATATCACACACATAAATCAAAAGGAGAAACCTGCTCCATTACAAAGTCTACTCGCTCCCAGAGTATTTGGATTATAAGTAATCTTTTGTAACAAAGAGTCAATAAAGTTCACAAGTGCTTTGGACAAGGATGAGTCGAGCTGCCAGAGGCAATGTTGTGACTGTACACAGAGGCAGGAAACAAGGCTGCAAGGCTGCATCTCAATGAGAAGTCAGGTTGCAGACAGAGCAGGGGCTCTTTGCAGAGAGCTCTCTTGCACACCTGGACCAAGCAGGATTGCCTTCCCATCACTTCAGCCAATACAGGGAAGGGGGAATCCTGCTTAACACTGGATTTGGGTGGACAAGAAAACGCCCTGCAGAGTGTGCCCAAGCATTCAGACCAAGTAGGATCACGGTCTCATTGAAACAGCCAATCCTGCTTAGCTTCGCAAATGCTTTAAAGCATTTGCAAAAGTGCTGTTTGAAACAGCTCATTATTTTCCTTTAAGTGAGCAGGTAGGCAGTGGCAGCAGGGTGGGGGGAGACTCCTCTACCTTACACTGCTACCACCAGCTTGCTGGTTAAAAGGAAAAGTGCAAGTCACTTCAAACGGCACTTTTGCAAAAGGCTCATCAGCTGATGAGCAGGGATTAAATATTGCTTCCTTGGCTGGGCAATCCTCTTCCCTGAGGGGAACAGAGTACACAGCCATGGCAAGATTAAACCCAGTCCTCCCACCCATCAACTGATATCACCAGTGACGGGGCTCAAACCCACAACCCTGGGATTAAGAGTCTCATGCTCTACCAACTATGCTTTCCAACCTAATCTCTCTGAATTTCTGCTTTCACCAAAGTTTGGATTATAACCGGGTGCGTGCCATTTTGGTAGCAGTGGTTATAGATATATGAGGCAGCCTCAAGATGAGTCAGAACATCCTTTCATCAAGCCCAGTACTGTCCGTTTTGACTAGCAACAGCTCTTCAAGGTCCAAGGACAAAGAGAGAGTTTCCCCAACTCAGCAATCTGAAATGTTTTCAACTGGAGATGCCAAGAGATGAACATCGGACATTCCACATCCAAAGCATCCATTCTGACAATGAAGCTGCTTCAAGTTCTGTGAGATCACCATCCTATCTAGCCCAGGGGTTGTCTGCTCTGCTTGGCCTCAGCTCTCCAAGGACTCAAGCAGAAAAAATGCTTTTCCAAACCTGTCACCTACCCTTCACAGGAGGCTGAACCTGGATAGATCACACAGATAACATGTGCTTTGCTACTGTTACAGCCCAATGAATTATTCCCCCTCCTTCTCCTTCTAGTGGCTTGTAAAGAGCTGACCCTCTGGTCATATGTAGCATATACAGAATAACTTGCAGCTGCCTATGCAGGGAAGCCCTGGTAAAGTGGAAGTGAATGACCCTCCCACAAGACCATCAATGTATGTGACAAATAATTAAATGAGGTCTGGGAAGATGAGCTAGTAATTTTTGTGAAGTCATAGACCATTCTGACATTGCCACCCCTGCAGAACTGACTCCTTGTCACCCGTTCAACTGTAGTTTCCTCTTTTCCTGTTATTCCTGTTATTTTCCTGTTATTATGCAGTGTATTGGGAGTTTGGGGGCTTCAAATCCTGCATAGCTCCAAATGGCAGAGCAGCGAAAGACAAAAACCAAGACATTTGAAAACTAAAAGCAGAATCTGGGTTTCCTACCTCATGGTACACCCAGGAAAGGTTTTGATTTTTTTGCCAGTAAAAACCACCTTCTCCCTCTGTTCCTTTCATCAACAATTTTGCAAAATGGCCACATGATGAGAGACAAATCGATGTCCTCTTCCAGTGCCCTGTGAAATACCAGCAAGCACTTTGAACATACCAGGGAGAAAGGAGGGAGGTGGGGGAAGGATGCCTAATGAAGTTAGACAGCTACTAGCAAACTTCCTACACACCAGACCTCTGAATGCTGGGCATGCTGGGTTATTTTATCAGATGGCAAGCAACCAGCAGCAAAGTTGGCTCTTTTGTGTAGGAATGAACAGCTTGGAAAGTAGCAGATCTGCACTGGTTCCGCTTTGGAGGCTAGGAGGTGAACAGCTAAATTCAAGAGACCTTGATGACAAAGGCAAATCCGAAGTAAACACAGCAGAATGCTAACGGCATCCAGCAATTAAGATTTGAATTAGAATTAGCAAGTTCAGTCAGTTTAAATACCCATGGAGGGGTCCTCTGGACTATCCATTTTGCCAGTACTTTACTATGTTAGAAAGCCATGATCTGGAAGGCATGGGTTCAAGTCCCACCTCTTGATTAACTGCACAGCCTGCAATGATACCACCCACCCTCACTTTCCCAGCTGCAGAAATAGAAGATAATGTCCTAGCTTTGTTTTGACACTTTGCATTTTGGAAAAACTCTTTATCAGTGACAGACAGGGATCCCAAGTGGGAGGAGTGCTCTCCTGCTTGCAGACTTCCCATTAGAGCATCTGGTTGGCCACTATGAGAACAGGGTGCTGGGCTGGATGGAATCTTCTTCTGTTCTTTTAACTGACATATCTTGTTGAGATTTGGAAAGGTAAAATGAGATCAGAAGGGCAAAGTCTGTCACCTCTGGAATTGCTCTTTTGGAGTTAATGAAAATCTGAATTTCTCCTGCCCCTCCTCCCCAGTTGTTTGTTCTTTGTCCTATTCCTTCCACTTTATCTGTGCCTTTCTGAAGAAGTGCCAATTTAAAAGAGAGACAAGGAATGAGAACTGTGAATTTTGTCTTTTTTGTTGTTACTGCAGACTAATGTGGCTACTCTTTAGGAATCTGTCTCTATGCAAGACTAAATAAATAAAGCCACTAAGTTGTCAGGACTCCAGTGCAAGATACAGATTCTTTTTATTTATTGATTTGGAAATGGAAGAGAGCTAAAAACAAAAAACAACCTTTAAAAAATTCACTAATTTGCTGAGTGAAGAGAATTTTGCAAGACCAGAAACGAACTGGACCTGACTCAAAACAAAACTGACTCTGTGAATTATCTTTTTGAAGAATGTGTCTTTGGCACTCTGGAAGTCTGAACTGAAGACTCAATTTCCTGTTCTCATCAAGGCAACCGGATAAACGCTCTACAGGCAAAGATCTGCTTGTGTGAAAAAGTGCCTTTATAGACACAAGAAACAGGCAGAGTTCATTATTTGGGACACGGAGTTAAGTAATTGCAAAAACCAATTCAGCAAGAGACTATTATCAGCTGAGGCTCAAAGGAGAAGGAGAGGGAGAGGGGCTGGCGCTGGCTGAGAACCATTTCCAACTGTAGGAGTGCTGGAGCTGCGCTGCCCAGAGTACAACAGATGTTGCACTTTCAGTCATCAGTTGACACCCCTCTATTCGTATCCTAGTAGGCAGAAAATGGCTGACGAAAACAGCGCATAAAATCATAAGGCAGTATTATAGTAGCCTGCAGGGCTGGATTAAGATATGCTGATACCCTAAACTATTTCAGTTTTAAGAGGGCCTGATAATGCTACCAGAAAGATTTGCATTGAAGTATTATTTTTAAACTAATTATGTAAAACTTGAAATTTACTGATTTTAAATGTTGTTGTTGTTGTTGCACCAGAAGTGTACTGGTGGAATTGCACCTTGGCTTCCTGGAGCACGTCAGCGCAGGCCCCCATGGAGGCCTTGCAGAAGCAGCTGAGGAGGAAGCAGATGTCACAGATTGACATAAGAAATCAGAGCAGCTACTGTCAATCAGTGACGTCCGGTCCAGTCAGGACAATTGGTGGGTGTGCAAATATGCAATGAAGTGGTGCCATAGCCCAAACCAAAATGCCTACTCTTTTGAGCCTTTTTGTCAAGCATTTCCCAAACTCCTGTAGTGTCCTGGGCTCTTTTTAGAGATGGGAAGGCCCAGAAAAAGTCGGCGGGGGGTCCTCTTGCCCATCTTCCCACCCACCCCTAAGCCTTTTTTGTTTGCTCGGAATAGATGGATGCTTTTTGGATTAAAAAATATTTTATTGCAGAATGCTGATCAAGAAATCATATGAACAAGTCACCCCTTTTCCTCAATATGTCTCCTTTTTTCTAGTTCATTTCATTCTTCCACAAAAGGGCTCATCGTGGGTGGTGCAACTGACAAACAAGGCTACAAATAATATCAATTATAGCCCAGCCTATGTTTAAGGGGAAAGGATGGGGTAAAAAAAAAATTATTGCACTATCATATGTTGCAAGAATAGGCCCAGGATCATACAACTTGTTGAAACAGTGACTGAATTCTGCAATGGGTAGAGGCTTCCATGCCTATCCATACCTTCTGCAACACATCCCTTCCCAGCTCAGTGAGATAATCAGTGAGCCTTGTTCCATGTATCCCTGCTTCTACTGTGGTTTGGACTAGAGGTGGAAGAGGAATTATTTCAGTCCATTTTTTTTCAGCAGACCAACATGTTCCAACACTCCTATTCCTGCTTGCAACTTCCAGTCAAATTGTGCACTTATTTGGATTTTGCAACGCAGTTTAAAGCACAAAGGGTACATATCAAAGTAATGTTTTACGTTATATATTGTCAGGGAACTGCCATCGGACGGAAGGGAGGTGAAAGGGCTCACACAGGTTGGGAGAGACTCAGCAGCTGAAGAGGGAACCAGTAGGGGGAGAGGAGCTGAGCTGAGGGAAAGTGAGCTGGAGGGATGGCTCAGAGACACTTCCAGCGAAAACAGTGGGGAGGTTTCAGGACCTCCTGTAGGGACACCCACTCCTCGCCGGAAACTGACACGCAGAGAGTCCAGAAGACGTGTTTCCGTTAAGGAGCTTTTATGTTGGAAGCGATTTCGAAAGCAACCACTGTCGGAATCTGCTAGTGACTAGAGGAGCCATGTCTGAGGGGCTCCGTCACAGACAGAGGTTTGTGGACTTGAACAAACTCTGAGGGGATACGTTTTTACGCACAAGCAGCTCATCATCCCATCACATATATATATTCTTTTTTTAAAAAATCTGCAAAAAGTGCAATGAAATTGTTTGTATTTGTAGAGCTTATTTTCAAACGTGTTGGATTTTAAAAGTTGATTGTTCAGCACTTTTATTGCAGGATAGTTTTTTCTATATGCTTTTCATGGTACAGTGGTACCTCAGGTTACAAACGCTTTGGGTTACAAACACTTTGGGTTACAAACTCCGCTAACCCGGATGTAGTACCTCAGGTTGAGAACTTTGCCCCAGGATGAGAACGGAAATCACACGGCGGCAGTGGGAGGCCCCATTAGCGAAAGCGCACCTCAGGTTAGGAATGGACCTCTGAAACGAATTAAGTTCGTAATCCGAGATACCATTGTATTGAACTTAGAACAATTTTTACTTTTTTGTTATTCTGAATATAACTGCGAAGGTAGTAAAATCCTGTTAAATTATTAGAAAGTCTTAAAAGAAGAAAAGAAACCAAGCTGATCTTATATTTGTTCTTCTATTGCACAAATTATGGCAAGAATTTGAATAAACAGTTCTAAAATAGGATCCATCCACAAGGTAATTTGGGGTCCTGTTTTAACTTTTCACAGCCTAGCACACTTTCAGTGTAAACTGTTCTGTGAAGGGCTGAGAAGCAGAATTATAAATGGACCTCACTTTAAAGAGATATTCCATTAAATTCACGTAGTGTATGTATGTTCAAAGCACAATTCAAAGTCGTTGCCTCCCGCTTATGCCACACTTATATGGAAGAACGATCAAACTCATTAAAACATTAAAGTAGCCAAGGTGGAGCCCCCTGAATAAAAAAACATGAGCCAAGTTAAGTAACATGAATAGCTGTGAAGATTTACAAAGACCAACAGCT